TCATGTGCAGCGCTGCATCCAGGCCTGGGGCCCACAGCACAGGAGGGACGTGGAGCTGTGGGAGCGGGTGCTGAGGAGGCACTGAGATGTCAGAGGGCTGGAGCAGCTCTGTGTGAGGAGAGGTTGAGGGCAGTGGGCTTGTTCAGCCTGGAGAAGAGTAGGCTGCGGGAGACTTCATTGCAGCCTTCCAGTACTTGAGGGGAGTGTATAAACAGGAATGGGAACGGCTGTTTACGAGGGTGGATGGTGATAGGACAAGGGGGAATGGTTTTAAACTGAGACAGGAGAGGTTTAGGTTGATATTAGGAGGAAGTTTTTAACACAATAGGTTGCCCAGGCGTCAGTGATTTACAGGCTGGTTCGGCCCTGTTCTGTGACTAACGGGGTGGAGGGATCCGTGGATCCGTGCTTCTGGAAAAGGGAAACAGGGAGAATGATTTCAACTTAATTGAAAACAGCCTTTACAGAAAGCAGGTGGCACCTATCGACTGGTACAAGATCCAAGGGAAATTAATGAAATGGTTCTCAAATGACACCCCCTGCTTCCTAAGCCCTGTAATGTAATGAGTCAAATCCCACACAGACACAAATGGTTCAGTGTAACAGACCTCAAAGATGCTTTTGAGACCTGCGTTTTAGACTCAGAGAGTCGAGATCTTTTTGCCGTTGTACGAGAGGATCCAAAACTGCGACAAAAATAGCAAGAGAAGTGGATTGCTTTACCCCAAGGGTTCATAGAATCGCCTAATTTATTATATTTTATGTGTTTATATTATGATAGATATTATCTATTGTGTTATTATGTGTTATTTTATATACGTTATATATTTTATATTTTATTTTTGTTTTAACTAATTAAGTGCTGGAGAAAGTTTTGGAGAAGTTTCAGGTTGAAGAGGAGGTGAAGCTGTTTCAGTATGTAGATGATTTGCTGAGTTATGGAAAAGAGGAGTCTAAAGTAAAGGAGACTGCAAGTGAAATTGTGAAGTTGTTACTTGTACTGTATGTCTGCAGTGCATTATTTTCTGAAAGGGTGCACCCAAGCAGAGATGTAAGGGATCGTGTGCCTTCAGACCCTCGAAAAATGTGTCCAGTTTCAGCAAACCAGGTCTTGGGCACTGTGGTGGATGCACCTGTCCGTAATGGGTGTAACATGCTGTGACTTGATTGCATTACTGTGACTAATTGAAGTGCCTGAAGGAAAGGCTGTTTTCTTCTGTTTGTTGATTCCCTTTGCTGAGCTATTTGCACCGAACGAGCTGATGTTGTTGTTGCTGTGGGGTGTGATCAGCAGGATGGGAAAGCACAGTGTTTGTGTTGACATGAGGTTATAGCAGGGCTATGTCAGACTATCGTGGATGTTCTTTAAGTAGTTTGAGGCTACTGGAACATGGAAAAGAATCCTGACAGCTGGCTCTGTCTTCTATCGAGCTCTTAAAAATACTGCTTGAGATAACAGCAGATGAGATGAAATGCGGAGCAGCATGGGACTTGTGTCTGCCTTCAATAATGCTTTTCCTAGGCAGTTTGTGTTAAATTTTGTTCCATGGACTGTGACAGAAATCTGGGTTGCTCCGTGAGGTGTTATAACTAGCTGACCTGTTGACTACTGACATAAGGCTTACTTGATTTGAGCTATGGAACTTTCAGCTTGTTTTGTAATGGCTGTTTCTAGGTATCAGATAGCAAATAAAACGTAGCTCACAGTGGCTGGATTTTTTTTACTCAGGTGCTTCTGACACCATGCAAAACTCTCTTGTGGAGAAAGTTCCAGAAGCTTTCAGTGTTTAATTCTGGCTGTACAATAGCAATTAGTTCAATTTAGAACACATGAAAAGAAAGCTGATAGGGATCTGGTTACAGGTGGTTGAAATGACAAGAGGGAGATGGTGCAGGTGTAGGAACTAGGAGGTTGCCTTCCAAGTGCCTTCCTGGTTCTCCGTGCTGCTTGATGTTTATTTACCCATTGGTGCTGTGTTCAAGTGCAAGCACTGTAGGGTGTAGAGAACACTGTAGAATGCCTGGTACTGCCCCGACCAGTCATAGATACTGGAAGGAAAAGTTGTGATGAACTACCGATGGAAAACATGGACAGTTTTGAGGCTTCTTCTTGGCAGAAGTTGTTGAGACAGTCCTCTGATAATCAGACAACAGGTAAACTTGTTTAAAGATGAGTCTTACTTTAAAGAGGGCCTTGTGTAGTCTGGTTGTTTACAGTAATGCAGGACTAGTTGGGTAAATAACTGATTGGAATGCAATGCCTCGGGCAGAGGGTTGGAGATTCGTGATCCTTGAGGTCCCTTCCAACCCTGTGATTCTTTGGTGTACATGCTACTGATTTTTCTTTTTAACAGATGAGTGGGATGCTATTTTATTTCCTTATGCTTACACAGAAGCAGCAGATATGCTTCCTTTCAGTTGCCTAAGTGTGTTTAATTTCTTTTTGTACTATCTTTTCAGTTGTGGAGCTCATTGTTCTAATTCCAGCAGGGATTTTAGCATAGAGACTGAGATGATACTGTGTTCAACATTGGTGTTTTTTTGTACGTTTGTTTGCTTTGTTTTTTTTGACTAAGTGTAAACCTTCACGATGGCAGTGTCCGAAAACTGCCCTGGTGATGCAGATCACTGAGCAGCTTCCTCAGTGGCCCTGAAAGGGTTCATGTTCCTCAGGAACCCATTTTGTGCTGAAGCATTTCCTCCTACTGAGTGAGAATGAAATAAGGAGTTGTTCTTGGTGTGCACGTAAGCTTCTGCCAGGCTGGATTGGTGACTTCAGTTGATGTGAAATTACCTCATTGAGGCATATGCTCAATGTAGGGCTCCTCCCTGCAACATGAGCAATTTCAGAGATGGTGAGATCGTGGTACAGACCAGCACTGTGGGTAGAACAGTTGTGTCCTGAGTCAACGTGCTTACTAGCTGGTGACTTGTGTAGCTTGGGACTGAGAGGGATTGCAGTTCAGCACAAGGCAGGGGATCTGGCGTACGATGCGATTTCTCACGTGATGAGCAGTGAGAGAAGTGTTAACCCTGCAGTGTGTGACAGCGCGTGTCCCTGCTGGGGGACTGTGACAGTAAATGCACGGGAAAGATCAGACGGCTTTGACAGTCCTGGGATTGATGACTGTGCTGGTAGAGATGGCAGTGCAAGAGTTTGTTCTTCTAAGTCTGCCACCCTTCCCCAACAGGAATTTCTACATTGCTGAAGCGGTCATGGGACTCCTTGGACATTCAGATAAAACTTGTTAAAGGGATGTAGGTTTCAATCCAAAGCAGTGGTAACGTGGAGGGTATGTAAGGAAATGTTAATTTTCAGTCTTGCCACAGAACTCTTCATGCTGGAATATAGTGGCTCTTTGTGCAGGGTGATTATTAATCCATGTCAGAAGTCAGTGTTTCCTGTGTTCTGTTTGCACATCAGGGATTATTGGAGGGATGGCAATTGCTTCTTCAGATCTCCTTCCATAGTAACCCCCAGGAAGCAACAGTGGGGGTGGAGGAGCTGTGCTTGGCAGCTGCTGGACTATTGTTCATTATGTGTATTTTGGGGTTTGCTAAACGCTTGTCTCTTGGACAATTTCTGCGTGTAACATTATTTAATGAGTTTCTTCAGCCAAAACGTAAGATACGGTATGGTCAGTACTCCACAGCAAATGGTCTGTTAAAAGAGAGACTTGAGAGATGCTTTTACTGTTGTACATTTGTATTTACCCGCAGTACATGCAGTGCTTTTTGATTTGCTGGTACAGAAATCTGCAAAGCTTTGTGGACGGGACAAGAGCAGCCTGCTGTTGTGTTAGTTCCCCCTCAGTTTTTGGTTGCTGCTCCTGTATGTGCATTTCCACTTCATGAAGTTTCCCTGAACAACTCCTTGCAGCCTGATACTGGGAAAGGACTCCTGTTAGTCTCTGTTTGTGTCCACCTCGGCGGAACAAAGCTTTTCAGGAAAAGTGCTAGGAGTGCTGGTAGGCAGACAGCCAGGTGGCTGTGAGTGGGCAGTGTGCTCGTGCTGCCTGGAAGGCTTCAGTAGAGAGGTGATCCTTGCACTTGGCACTGGTGAGGCTGCTCATGTACTGTGTCCAGTTCTGCCCTGCCCCCCCAGACAGCAGACATGAGTGTACTGGAGATAGGCCAGCGTAGGGCCACTGAGGTGCCTGAGGGACTGGAGCACCTCTCCAGAGAGGAAAGCTGAGGGTGAGGAGACTCTTTAGTCTAGAGATGAGAGGGCTTGGAGGGAATCTCTTCAGTGAATGCGAAAGCTGGAAGTGAGGATGCAGTTGAGGACGAGAGGCATTGAGTACAAACTGGGGTTCGTGGTTCCATCTAAACGTCAGGCAGCACTTTGCAGTGGAGGTAAGTGAGCAGTAGCAGAGGTGGACCAGAGAGGGACTGGAGTCTTTTCTTTGCAGTTGTTCAGAAGCCATCTGGATCTGGTCTGTCCTGGATAATGTGCTCTCGGTGTCCCTGCTGGAGCAAGGGGTTTGTACCAGCTGAGCTCAGAGGTCCCTTTCCATCTTAAATTGTTCCGTGATTTTCTTTTTTGGGCTCCTTGGAAAGGCACGTCCTATTGGCAGATACAGCTTTAGGACTGAGCAGTGCAGATTGCTTGGCGTTGGGATGTCTTGATGTCTGTTGGAGTGATACCACTGCTGGAACTCTTGGTGGGAGTTCCTTGTCCTGAGAAGAGTTTTGGCCTGGTAATGCTGTAGTTGCTTCTGCTGGTAACAAACGTCCATTATGGCCTTGTGTTGAAATTGATTAGAAAGATACTGCAGTGCTTCCTGTATCCCTTGAAGCTGCAATTGCTCAGAGGTGGTGGTTTTGTTTTGCACAACCAGTGACACTCTTTTCCTCATGCTGCGAATGCTTTCCTCATCATATTCTCTTCAGGACACTCAGGATGAAACAGCTGTGCTTTGGCTCGATGAAACTCAGGATGGGATTCAGAAGGCTAACAGGGACACTGAAGAGTCACAGAGATGTAAGCATTGTAGCAAATACCGTGGTTCAATGCCATTGTCAACCAAATATTTGTCACCAAATGAAAGAATGCGAGCAAGAAATGTACACATGCAAAGGAAATTAAAATACAAGTGTTTGCTTCAGGTAGGTGTAGAAGTTGTTACTTTCAGCAATGAATGTCACAGCCTTTAAACTTCAATTCTTTCAATCTTTTTGGAAGGATATGTCGTTGTTTCAGTTGTGTTGTGACTGGGTTACATCCTAGGCAGAGATACCTATTGAATCTCTGTCCAAGTGTTTGACATTAGCAGATCATTGTGTCTGTCTGTGGTTGGGTAGTCAGCCCAATAGAGGATGTTCATGTGCACAGTTGTGGTGCATCTTAGCTTTCGTTTGTGTTGTACTGTTGCCTGAATTCTATGAAGTATTTCTCAAAGTACTTTTTATTTTTTTTTTTGCACTAAGTGCAGATAACAACACAAATCAGTGCAGTTGGCAGGTGGACTGTGCCAAAGAACATTTGGTCAAAAGCAGGATTAAAGTCTGTTTCTTTGAGCCTGAATAAGATCTTCAGATACCCTTCTACCTCTGTGTGTGTGAACAGACATTTGCTCAGTGCTGAAAATGACTGTATCTCGTGTTTACTGCTTCGGTGAGATACCTGTGGTTGATTTTGTACTGTGTTTGCAACAGAGTTCTGGAGTAGCCCTGGGTTAGCTCTTTCCTCATCTTGTTCTTGTTGATAACCTGTTCTGTGTTCAGGTTGCTATTCTTGCTAGGAACGGTGCAGTCACTGGAAAGGTGCTTTCTGAGTCAGTTGTCTGCTGTAGCAGGGCTCTGCAAGAAGAAGCTGCCTGGACTACAGCTGTTGTCAGAGTACAGCTGAGTGAATGGAGAAAAGGTTGTACAGAAATACCGTCGATAAATCAGCACCATGGTAGGACTAAGAGCACAAAGAAAAGTGCTGTCAGACACTGTGCCATACACAGATGCACACTGTACTGAAAATATTGTTGTACACCAAGTTGTCTTTTTTTAATCAGTTTTTTTTGCATAAGTACAGGAAGGTATTTGTATACACTGGCACAGTGCCTTGCTCTCTTAAGTCTGTTGTGAGCCACTGAGCTCCTGACTGTGCAGGTAACCTGCCTCCTCCTGTTGTTGAAGTTTCCTTAGGCATTCTGGCCGTGAATGCAGCAGTCGGTCACGGAGATACCAGCCCTACCCTGAGTGCCTTGTGCTCACCAGATGTGGGGCTGTACGGAGTCGCTGCAGAGTGTGCAGAGACATACCAGCGAGAGTTGGCAGAAGTCGAAAGGAGAAAAGTGGCCACAGGTGAACCCCAAATAGCTACCTGCTAGTGCAGTAAATTCAAGATGATTGCCTGTAGAATGGAAAGCAGAGGGGGAGCAATGTGAGGAGCAGTCTTGCGTTCTGGGTATCTTGTTAGAATCTCATGTTATAGGAAATTGAGGCTGCCTTGTAAACTGAAGTCTTTGTTAACGGAAAGAAAAAAAAGGTAGGAAGGAAATGAAAAAGGTAGCAGTGAAATATTCCCCACTTGTAGAATATATTGTGCTTAGGTAGTTCTTGCGGTGGTTCATTGGAATCTGAGGCATTCCTTCTATTGCTTGGAGGAAGGGCCCTCTCGATGCATTTCCTTCCTGTAGTATTTGTATGTGAGGAAGATAGACACGTGTTTGCTTTCAACATAGCAGCATTTCTGCTTTCAGGAGGCAGTGGCAGTGAACAGGTGAAACACTGGGTGAGAGGAGGCTGTCATCATTATCATAACGTGAGGACCAGAGAGGGAGGATGGGATGAAGTGACGGAATTTGTGCAGAATGACACACAGCTGTCACGGGAGGAGATGCAGGTAAAGTACGTGCTCTTTTCCTCTGAAGTTGAAGTTGCCCCTATTTCAGGCCTTATTGCAACTTTCAGAAGTAATGTTTCCCCACGGTAGTGATGTTAGCAAGCTTTGTATCTTATTTCCCTGTTCGTTGTCTACTTTGCACGTCAGCACCTCTTTGTCCTATTGTGGAGAATGTGCACACCTTGATCACCAGAACAAGACGGTGGTGTTGCTGCTCACCGAAAAGCAACTTGTAAGTTTCTCTTGAGCAGAATACAGAAGCCGCTGTGTAACATGTCATTTTTGCATCTCCCTTTTCTCTTCCTGGCTCTTCTTCCTACCATAACGCTAATCTAGAGCACTGTATCTGGAGTCACGGCAGCATACGAGCGAGAGCAGTTGTGGCTGGCCAAAGAGAACCTGATGGTGAAGCTTCAGGCTTGTGGTCGAGGCTGTCTTGTCTGTCAGGAATTCAACTCCAGAATGAGGTTTTTGAAGAAGCAAGTTCCAGCCATCGCTTGCATGCAGGTATGAAATCCCCTGATTCTGTCTGAAGCTTGTACTTGTCAGTCGCTCTCCACACGCACGCTTACTGACTGGTTTTGTTCAAGTCAAGCAGTTGCCACGCACAATTATCTTCGTTTTGCAAAGTATTGGAAGGCGTTTCCTTCTCCCTGGGAATCACTATGTATAAATTACTTCTCTCCCTCTTCCCATGAGTCCGTGGGTTTGGAGACTTGAAGATGGCCTTGAGAATTGTGCAATGGATGGTGCTTTTGGTTGTTTAGTTTTAGTCATTTGTTCTCTAGCTGTGTTTTGCCCTTGGTGGGGGGTGCTGCTAAGTCCCTCACAACGACAGCTGGTGGTGGAAGAAATAGTTAAGGCTGCACTGCATATCTCTTACGGCATGTCTTGTAAGATGAGCATGTCTGTGTTACATTTTATTCAGCCAAAGGGAAGTGGAAACTGAGCAGCAGAAAGAAGCATCAAATAGTAAATTACTGCTCTTCACTTTGAAAAGTCGCCTTTTTTCTTGTGTGTGTTTTCAGTCCCAGTGGCGTGGCTATAAACAGAGGAAGGCATATCAAATCCGTTTGGATTACTGATGAGCACACAAGGACCAAGAAGTGAAGGTAGCAAATGCTATGTTTGCTTTTGTTTGTTTGTTTGTTTTGTTAACATTTTTGGTGGCAATATTTGTGGAGAAGACTTTTATCTGACCTGCTTTGGGATTCTTTCCTGTAGATTCAGTCACTGGCCAGGATGTATCAAGGCAGAAGGCGTTACAGAGATCACCTGCAATCTTTCAGAGACCACATAAGAGATTGTGAAATGAATTCAGTATCTGACACTTTTTTTTTTTTTTACTCTGCCATTAACAAGTTTAAGTGGCTGACGTTCTACAAGTACAAGCTTTTATCCGAGGAAACAAAGCAGGAGAAGACTACAAAACCCTCAGTAAGTGTGGCCAAAAGAATAAAGCTAATATGCTTTGAATCTCTATTTGCAGAAAAATACTGTTAGTGAGATCTGCAACAGGAAGAGAGCTATGAAAATCAGTTGGGGTGAAGTGGTGCAAAGAGTAGATAGGTAGGCAGGTAGGTGGCTGAAGGAAAAATTCCCTCTGGCTGAGGGAGTGGAATGCGCTGTCAGCAAGTTTGCTGATGACACAAAACTGGGCAGAGTGGCTGACACAGTAAAAGGCTGTGCTGCCTTCCAGCGAGACCTGGAGAGTTGGGTGGGGAGAAACGGAATGAGAAAGAACAAGGGCAGGTGTGGAGTCTTGCATCTGGGCAAGAGCAACCTGAGTACCAGTATAGGTTGGGGGCTGAGCTGTTGGAGAGCAGCGTAGGAGAAAGGGATCGGGGGATCCTGGTGGGCGGTAGGAGGAGCATGAGCCAGCACTGTGCTCTCGTGGCCAAGAGGGCATCGTGGGGTGTATGAGGAAGAGTACGGATAGGAGGTGGAGAGGTGCTCTTTCCCCTCTACTCTGCCCTGATGAGTGGAGCATCTCCCTGTGAGGAAAGGCTGAGAAAGCTGGGTCTCTTTAGCTTGGAGGAGACTGAGGAGTGACCTCGTTGATGTTTATAAATGTGTGAATAGTGAGTGTGAGGAGGACGAAGGCAAGCTCTTCTCAGTGACATCCAGTGATAGGACAAGGGGCAGTGTGTGCAAGCTGGAGCATAGGAGGTCCCACATAAATAAGAGGAAAAACTTCTTCACGGCAAGGGTAACAGAACACTGGGATGGGCTGCCCAAAGAGGTTGTGGGATCTCCTGTGGAGACATTCAGCAGCTACCTGGACATGTTCCTGTGTGCCCTAATCTAGGTGATCCTGCCCCAGCAGGGGGATTGGACGAGGTGCTCTTTGGAGGTCCCTTCCAATTCCTGACATTCTGTGATTCTGTGCAAACTTGGTTCACGGTAGTACTTTTGCTGCTGGGAAATAGGAGCGCTGATCTTTGGGGTAAGTTCAGCAAGGTGGACTCCCCTAAGCTGATACTGACTTCATCCTGTAGCGTTGACTTCTGTCCTGATTTATTCCATGCCAGAAGTTCCGGATGCTGTCAGGAGTTATTCAAGCCCATTGGTGTTAATTTGATCCTGGACTGGCTGCTGCTTGACATGCTGTCTGCACAGAGGTAACGCATGCATTAATTTGTTTCCTGTCCTCTGATGTTTTGTCTCTTGTTTTTAGTTAATGCTGAAAACCCACCCACGGCTGTGGTTGGGAAATTGGTTCACTTGCTCGATCGGACCCAGATTTTCAGGAGGAGCTGGAGCTAATGAAACTGTGTGAGGAAGCTGTGACCTTGGTCCGATCTAATCAACAGCTTGAAAATGACCTCAATCTCATGGACCTCAAGATTGGACTGCTAGTGAAGAACAGAATGACACTGCAGGTAGGAAATGCAGTGCTGGGAGACTAGGAGAGTGAATTGAGGCCAATGGCAGTTAGCATGAGGACCTTCTGAGCCTGGATCTCACTTACTCAGATTCAGTGGGAAGTATTTCCCCCAGAGTTACAGGTTTTCCTCCCAGTAAGTTCCTAACTGTTCCACTTATTACTATGTATCCCTAGAAAGAGAACTGCAGAAGAAACATCAAGGCTTCAAGTGTTTTAAAAACAAAGCACCAGAAAAAAACCCACTCGGGACCAAGGGAAAGCAATAGATGGTATGCTTGAAGGCTCTGAGAAGTGTTTGTCTCTTCACTTGTGGTTACGTGAGTCATGGACTTGCACACCTCAATTTCTTCTCACGTTTTGTGTGCTGTATCAGAAGGGGGAGGTGATTTTGGAGCAGGAAATGTGCTCAGGCTGCTTGGTGTTGGTTGGCTGATGGAAGCCCCCTCTGTCACTTTGCTGACGATTGATTGCACACAAGAACAACGTTGCTGATACAGCGGTGCCTTTTTTTAACTCAAGCTGAAGTTACAGTCACCTTTTCCTTTGGTCCTGAATAGCGTGGCGCTAGGCTTGACCTTGTGTAAAATCTGAACCATGGCAGCAGTGAAGTTCAGTTCCAAAGGAGGCTCCAGCTCTTGGGCTGATGCTGGCAGCAAAAAGTATCATCGTTATCAGAGCGGTGGAGGCAGGGAGTCAGCAAAATGGAAGCAGGGCTTGGGGCTTCAAGCACAGTTGAGAAAGAAAGGCATTTTCAAGCATCTTCAGAACGCTACCAGCTCTGACAGTAGTCCCTGCTCAAAGCAATTAGTCCTTGTAGGTTCTCAACCAATTCTGGAACGTGGAGACAAGACAGAAATCGCTGCTACAACAGATAATGTTTCACTTCATGATCTCCTGATGTACCTTGACTGCCTTATCCACACATAAGGAAGTGCTATCGTGCAGCTTTTTCCCATATTGCGTGTTATTTAAATGTGGAATCTGTCCCTCTGTGTTCTTTGCAGGATGTTGTTTCTCATAGCAAAAATCTTAGCAAGGAGAACAAGGAACAGCTCTCTGACGTGATGATACTGAACGAGCAAAAGGGAGGTTTGAAAGCTTTGAGCAAAGAGGAGAGGGAAAAGCTGGAAGCCTATCAGCATCTTTTCTACTTGAGGTATGCAGCTTTTCATTCACTGCTCTTGTCGTAGATGCTTACGTGTATTGGAACAGTCTGTGCTTATGCTCTGCAGTGTTGAGGCGCTGTCTGTCTTTGTGGTGTTGGCTTTTGTGGACACGTGCTGTATGGGAACTGCTGAGTCATGGCCTGAACCTCTGATTGATCACCTGAGGCGAGCAGTGAGTCAGGCAGAGGAGCACAGGTGAAGGCAATGCAGCTGTGCTGCTGGAAGGGGTGCAGCCAGGCTACAGCCCTCCTAGACCTGTTTAAGAGCTGGCTACCAGTGGGGAAGGATCTCGTCTGGAGATCTGCTCTGCTGGAGTTTTGTAAGTGAGCCCAGGATAGGGGTAAGCCTTCTATTTATTCTCCTTTTGTTAGCTTAGTCTGCTTTGTCAAACTCTCTTGTTTATTTCATAATGACAACATCTTAATAGTCATTGATTATACACGTGCACTAAGTACTTTTTCTTCTTGTTTTAGACTACTCCAACGTACTTGGCCAAGCTGCTTTTGCAGATGCCTCAAAACAAACCCACGGAGTTCATGGATTCAGCCATCTTCACGCTGCATAACTACGCATCCAGTCAGAGAGAGGAATCTCTGCTGTTGCGGCCGTTACAAACAGCATTGCAGGAAGAGATCAAGTACGTTGTAGCATAGGACACAGCCTTGCTGTTGCCTGAGTTTGGGCCGCTGCTAAAATTGCAGCTGTTGTTGTGTGATGTCCCGTGCTCATTAGCTGATAATGCTGAACTGTCCCTGCCTTCTGCTCATGCTGTTTCACGTCAGTCCTTTCTGTAACCTGGAAGGAGGAGGAATTACCTTTGTTCTTTAGGATTAAAGCCATTTTTCTTTAGCCAATGCTTTCTTGCTCAGGGAGGCACTATTTTTGATCTGCTGCAGTGCTTTCCTAAGATTCATTCCCATCTAAGTTCTCTGCTGTCTAGTAAGAAGGACTTGGAGCAGACTGCGAGCTTGGGCTTTACAGGCCAGAGTGAAGCTGACGCGAAGGTCACTGTTTTCCAAAACTGATGAGGAGGCTGAAAATCAGATGCTGTCTGGTTTGGGTTTTTTACTGGCTGTCAGGCTTAAGGATTCTGGCTGTCTGTCGGCATAATGGAGTTGATTGGCACTTAGGAGTTTGGTGTTTATGACTTCTGGCTGATACGGAGCTTCACAACTTGCTAGGAATAGCAAATACATATAATGTTGGAGGCAGTCATGCCTTTTTTGATGCTTTTAAGTATGAGGATGGTATGTGCCCTCCAACAGGTAACGCCTAAAAGGTTTGTTTAATTATTATTATCTTTTCTTGGAGTAGTAGTTCAGGAAAGTGCATGTCTATGCTTTATTCTCTGCTGCTGGATTTCCCATAGCGGCATGCTGTGAATGGCTTTTGTTGCTGATTGCTTACTTGTTGAAATACTGAAAGAAAATAGTTGTGCCTGTGTAGAACTCCCTTTGTTTCCTCTGTATTTTTGAGATGCGCTCTTTCAACCGTGGTGCCCGTGGTCAGAACGCACTGAGGCAGATCTTGGCCCCAGTTGTGAAGGAAATAATTGAGGACGAATCGCTCAACGTCAGAACGGATCCAGTGGATGTTTACAAGTGCTGGGTGAACCAGATGGGATCTCAGAATGGTGAGGCCGGGTATGGAAGCTGTTGCTACCGGTTTTTTCTGAAAGTTGCTCAGCTGCTTTGCATTGCTCTATTAATCGTTCCAAACCATCCCTGGATTCATTGCATGCATCTGTCCAATGGATACCGGCTTTTTTCCATCAGCTCGAGATGGCTTTCTTCTGAAAGGTATAAAGATCATCTTGTGACAGGGGTGTTGAGCCTATTAGAAGTGAATCTCATGAAGAGATAGGCCAAGAAAAGCCCCAAAGCATTTCTTCTGTGTTAACTCATAGATACAGATACCATAGCTCTTACTCTACCAAGCCAATCTCTGCCCACAACTCGGGCAGGCTGCCCAAGGAGGCTGTGGATGCCCCATCCCTGGAGGCGTTCAAGGCCTGGCTGGATGTGGCTCTGGGCAGCCTGGGCTGGCGGTTGGTGAACCTGCACGCAGCGGGGGGTTGGAACGAGATGAGCATTGTGGTCCTTGTCAACACAGGCCGTGTTGATAGAATCACAGCATGCAGCTGTTCCTGTCTGCCCATGAGAAGGTTTCATCCACCTGGTCATCCTGGTTGGTTGGCCTGTAGATCCCCCGCTACGTCATCTGTCCCTGTCCTCCCTTTAATCTGTGTCTATAAAGTCTTGATGGGCTCCCATCCGTCCCCAGTCAGAGTTCTGTGTTTCTTCCAGTGCTTGATGTTCACCAGATTTTGAGGGTTCTGTTGTTGGTTGTATTTGTTTTGTTTTTAAGGCACTTCAAGGGAAGTGGTGGAAAAGCAATGCTATGAAGTAAAAGACAACTGTCCCAGCGCAGCACTCTGCGTGAGTTACTATCTTAACACTGCAATGTGCAGCTTGTGTTTTCACTGATTTATTTGCGACCTGAGGTACTACTGCGTATCGCAGGTGACCTTCTTGACTGTAGAGAGCGTGTCTGCATGTGGTACAGAAAGATACAGTTCAGAGTTAGCTGGGCCTGTTCTCACAGCGACTGCTGCAGGGACAGCAGAGGACGTGAGAAGTCCTTTGCTCTTTCAGTGCTAGAATTCTAACGAAAGTGAACGTGCAGCTCTTTGCAGCCAGGTGAGCGTGGATCTGTTTGTATGTCAAGCCAAAAATTCTGCCTGGCACTGACAAAAGTATATTAGGCTGAGGAGTGCTCACCTTCACATCTGACTTTTCCAAATAGCAAGTTGCCGTACGATGTTGCACCTGAACAAGCTCTTAATCACGGTGAGGTGAGGACGCACCTGGATGCCTCAATCCGAGATGTGAAGGCAGTGACAGACAAGTTCCTGTCTGCCATCGTTGTTCAGCTGACCAAATCCCGTAAGTCTGGTGTGTCACCGCGTTATCCTGCAGCAGTTAATGGTGGGTTCATCCGTGAGGAATTCTCACTTGCCTTTTATTTCCTTCGAAGTTACGGGATGCGTTTCATCGCCAAGGTACTGAAAGACTCCCGGCATGACAAGTTTCCTGATGCTGGCGAGGATGAGCTTCTGAAGGTAAGGAGCTGAGCAGCTCTGTGAATAAAGACGCTTTTTTCAGGTTGCTTGTGAGGTTCCTGAATTGCAGTATAAGTTCAGTATTGATGAGTATTTTGGCTTCCTTCCTTGTCTCTCCCTTCTGCAGAGCTTATAGCCATCAATCTCAACGCGCCAGTCATGGGAGCAGTCCCACCATGTTTCAGTAACAGCAGCTAGATCGTAGTTAGCCTGGTGCACAATGGCTTCCAGTTCCTCCTGCTTGTTGCTCATGCTGCGTGCATTGGTATAGGTGCTCTTGAGCCAAGTCATTTGCCTGACTCCCAGCTCTAAAATCGTTCCCCCAGGCTCTTCTCTTGTGAGGCCTGTACTGTCCCCTTCCCCCGTCATAATTAGTTGATTGCACAGGAAGAAAAGCTTGATGTCTGTGCCAAGGGAGACGTACACCGCACTTGCGCTGCCTGGACGATGTGGAAACTGGAAATTGTGGGGTGTGCTGAAGCATGCCCTCTCAGGTCAGTCTAAGCATCCATAGAGTAGACCTGTCTAGCAAAACAGGGAATAGACAGTTAAACCCATTCTGTTGGGAAATACTCTCTCCTTCTAAGTACCTTTAGAACGTGAGTTTCTTCAGTTAATTACTCAACTCATTTGCTTTTCCTGAATGATCCTAAGTTCTTTTCTCAGGTGACATCTGCACTCTGCTCAGTCCAAGGAGAAATCCCTGCCCGCAGATGCAATGACACAGCGTGGCTCCCAACCTCATTTTTCATTGCTTACTCTTATGGTAGCTGCCATCCATGTCCACCCTGCGTATTCTTAGAGCTCTTCTGGAGTCCATGGGACAGACTTATGGTTGAACTAAAGGGAATTTTTTTATAATGCTCGAGCTCCAGATGATTATCCCTAGTATCATTATATTAAAAAAAAAAAAAGGCGTTTTGAAGTAGCGCGATATATCTTCTGTGCCTCAGAATGTGGCACGTGTGGCATGAGAGAGTTGTGAGGCCACGAGGACTGCCCAGACAGCATGAGAACTGTAAGAGCAGAGAGCTATAGGTGATGCAGCGCTATTGGTGCCACCCGCAGGAAGCGGTAGCTGGAACTAAATATGGCCAGAAGAGTGATCAGATTGCGTTTGGTAAGGAACTATTTCATTGGTTGTAGAACTTTGACAAAATGTATATTCAGGATGATGATCAGCATGCCAGGTGCTGGGACCATGCCGAAAGAGAAATGGTCTGAAAACGTCGGTGCCATTTGCAATATATCCCCTTCCACAAAGCCCTCAGATCCATGCTGCAACTGCATCCAAAGCAACGCAGAGCCCTGTGCTTGTTGTACCCAGAGCTGTCGGTGCCAGGAGTTGCCGCTGTGTTTGCAAGGACGTTGTGTCAGCAGTGTGCCGTCAGTGGGGTTGTTTGATGGCAATGAAACCGCTGAATGGTGTACCTCAAGACTCAGAAAGAAGATGGTAGTGGTGACTGTGTGTCTGGGTATAGATAGCTTGATACAGATCGATAGGACTGCAGTGTGGATTGTACGTAGGCCCTGCGCTGCGAGGTACGCTGTTGGGAAGCAATGTCCATCTGCCCGAGGGCAGGAAGGCCCTGCAGAGGGACGGCCTGAGGCCAGCCGTACGAGGCTGCACAGGAGCAAGCGCTGGGTCCTGCGCTGTGGTCATGACAACCGCATGGCAGCTTCTGCAGGATTGGGCTGAGGTAGAATTCCAACCGCCCGCTGATTCTAGAATGTTGGGTGCGGTGTTGGAATCTTCTGGTCCTGTGACATGGTCTTGCCTCCCCACCCTGTCGTCATGGCGGAGCAGCCTGGTGGCCCTTAGTGATGTCACAAGAGGCTGGAATGAGGGGAGGAGCAGTGCGTGCTGCGTCCCTTCATTGGAGCGCTTGAGCTCTGCGTGAGTAGCTCGCTTGTTGCCCTTGTGCAGCGACTGAGTGCCTTCATTTTCACCCCTTGTGTCTTGTGCAGCATCTTGTAGGTAAGCTGAGACAGGGTGTGGAATGGACGGGTGGGCAGAGAGCAGTTGAAAACTGCTGTCTGGTGGAGCTCCTAGCAGCTCACACTGCTTACTCTTGTCCGTCAGACGTAACTTTCAGCCAGTACCTGCATTCCCAAGCGATCCACAAAGATGGCATTTGTCCCATGGCTTGTCCTTTGTTATCTTTGCTGCATTGTGGAAGCTCACAGACCTGTTCCTTCTCTCTCCTCTACCCGCTCCCTTGGTGCAGCTTTCGCTCGTGGAAGACCTGAGCAAAGTGACAAGAATCAGCTGCGAGTTCAAGGAATTGTCTACCTTGTTCTGATCTCCTGCCAGGTACGTGCCACGTTTTGTCCCCCCACGTGGTTGACCAGCACTGTGTCGCACCATGTTTGGTAACACAGCCTCACCCAGCTTTGATGGGACACTGGTCCCGTGTGGGTTTTTTCCCTTCCCCTGCAGCTCGGTCCTGTGGAGGATGCTGTGTGTGGTGCTGTGACCAGCTGGTCTGAAGGAAAGCAATCCCTTAGGCAAAGGGTCCTAGGCCCAGTTTGTGCCGAGCTGCACAGTGTGACCCAAGGTCACAAGCATGCATGCCTGGGCAGTGGAGTGTGCGCGGCAGCTGTAGGGTGCACAGCAGAGATGCAAGCAGAGGAAATCCTTGATGTGCGGGGCTGCAGCAGGTGCCGGTGGTGGGGCTGCTGGGAGCCGTGGCCGGGGAGCAGATGCACCTGCAGCAATGATTCCTCTCACTGCCCTGCTGCTGCGCTGTCAGAGCGCCCTGGGCGAATGCATCTGCTGCTTTGTGCCAGTCCCCATCTGCTAGCAGAGGGACAGCCGCTTGGTCAAATGCTGCCTAATGGGCTGTCCCATTTGAACGGAGTGAACAGAGTGGTTGCTTCTAGAGCACCCGCCTGTGCCAGAGGATAGCCAAGGGTAGTTCTCCCGTAGTCTCTCAATACTGTGGTGTGTGAAGAGAGAAAATATGAGCGTGTTTCTTTTCATTCCAGCTTGTCGTGCCTGCTGTGATGGGCATCGCGTGCAGCGAGATCAGCTGTGAGCCTGGCATGACACGGATGGAGGTAGAGTGTGGAGCTCTGATTGGTCTTTGTTCCCTGATTTGAGCCAGCAGAGTGAGCCGCAGATGTGTTCTCCTGCTTTTCAAGAGAGAGCGAATCCTTGCGGCTCTATCGGTGTCACTGAAAAGCTGCCTTCAAGGCTTTCTTTCCTTGCTGCGGGCATGTTCTTAGCCTTGCCGTTCCTTCTTGTGTGCCCATGATAAGGACGGAGTGCACTTCCTGCAGCTTTCTCTGCTGACATGCTCCTCAGCCTGAAATCCTCCTCGTTTGCCCTCAGCTCCTCACCATGGCCTGTGCTCTCTGTTTCAGGCTGAGAACAACAGGAAGCCCCGGCTGGTCCGTGAGGAGTCATCTCTTAATATCCCAGCTATTGCTGCTGCCCACGTTATTAAGAGATACGTTGCCCAGGCACCGGGTGAACTCTCCTTGGAGGTAAGCAGTTAAGGGCGTTCCTTGTTGTCCTGTACAGAAGAGTATAACATGTGAAGCTATCAGGAATATTCTCAGACACCTTCAGAGTGTTTGGTGTGGTGAAGCCCAGCAGATGCGGTTCCAGGTTAGACTTGCACTGGGTTGGATGCAGGGAGGAGTTCAGCCATCTCTAAACTATGGCTCTATTTTGCATTTGGATCTTCTGATCCAAGAGCTACTGCCCAGCGTGGTAGCCTGGTCTCTGAGCAATGGCAGAGCAGTGTATGGAGTGTGCAGATCTGTTCAGGCTCTGTTTGGCTGACTTAGGCCTGCGGTTTAATTGGAGCTCTCCCTTTGGCAAAGAGCCTGCTGCTTTTGAGAACCATTTGGTACTGAACAGCTGAATTCTGTATGTTGTGTAGTATTGGAGTGACTCTTCTACCTCCACGTTCAGTTGTACGACTGCAAATGCCTTAAGAGCTGCACTGGTGCAATCGCTCTCTAGCTTGACGATATTGGGCAGTGCAGAAGAATGCAGTCATTTGAGCTGCGCTTTCCTCCCAGCTGTGCTGTAGCTGGGATTGACGTTGCAATCTCTTGCAGGTGGGAGACCTCGTGTGCGTCATCGAGATGCCGCCTCAGGAGCTGAGCCCCCGCTGGAGAGGCAAGCACGGCTTTCAGGTAGGCCCAAGCTTCAGACGTGAGAGCGCAACTTCGGTCGAGGCAGGAATCTCAGCTTAGAGCTGCCCTGCCTGCACAGCATGGCTCCACATGGAAAATGGTTTCCCTGTGCTGGTGTCAGAGGACTTTCCCTTTTGCTGTGGGCTTGGGCCCGAGCTGAAAGTTGGTCTTTGTAGGAAACTTAGAAAGAAGAGCCCTCACAACATGCATCAGGTCACGGCCACTGAACCGCACCTTTGGAAATGCAGCAGCTAGGACACGTGTTTCAGTGTCTCTGAGCACTTGTGCTTGCACCCATGCAGTAGGTGAAGTCAGCGTCTTTTAGGAAGTCGCTGCCTGTCAGCTGAGATGAGGCAGGGTAACAGAGCCTCTGCACGCTTGCTGCTGCTGCTGGCTGCAGAAGGCTGGGTAGCTCAGAGCTGGGGATGGCAGCTGCAGCACAGGAAGTTCCGCACAAATATGCGCAAGAACTTCTTTACAGTGAGGGTGACGGAGCACTGGAACAGGCTGCCCAGGGAGGTGGTGGAGTCTCTTTCTCTGGAGATGTTCAAGACCTGCCTGGATGCCTACCTGTGCGACCTGCTATAGGGAACCTGCTTTGGCAGGGGGGTTGGACTCGGTGATCTCTGGAGGTCCCTTCCAACGCCTACAATTCTGTGATTCTGTGATCTCAGTCAGCAAGCAGAAAGTTCATAGGCTGTGCTAACTCAGATCTAGCTGCATCAATCTATCATAATATATAGCTTCTGTATGAAGTCTTTCCCTTCGAGCACGCTTGAGATTTAGGGGTGCATAGCATACTTGTTCTTTCCCCGCTGCATACACAGTTTTATGCATATTTGCCTGCCAATTTTGAATAATTATTAGTTTTAAGCAGGCCATTTTTTGGTTGGATTGTCTTACGGAGCATCTGGCAGGCACGTGATGAGGAAAAGGTGATGTTTGAACAGTTCAGGCCTGAGAAACGCTGCCTTCAGTATTGCACGTCTCTTCTTCCTCTTGTTACAGGTTGGATCTTTCCCTGGTGAGTGTGTGGAGCTCATTAACGGAAAAATCCCGGAGTCTCTCATCAATTCAGTGCCAAAGCCAGGTACGATGAGACATTTGATGGTGCAGGGAAGCAAAATGGAGTCTTTTTTGGGTGTGTTCCGTGTTTAATACCTCCCTTATCCTTCCCCCCTTATCCTCTGTGCTGATAATCCTTCCTGCATAGCACGGGGCGTATGGCTGGTGTTTTGTAGGCAGTGAGAATGAGGGAAGGCAAAGGCAGTTCTCCGGCAAGTCAGTACGAGGCTGAGAACAGCCAGCGTCCCTGGTGGACAGATAGAGGTCTGGTTGTGCTAGTGACACGCTTGATCAGAACGTGGCTTTTCAAGAGGGTCCTTAATGCCCAGGTTGAGCAAGCTAAGCAAGAGGAGTGCATTCAACTCCATCAGAACGTGCAGAGATTTGGCCCAGTCCTCCTGTGTTTTATGACTGGAGTTGGGGAAATCCTAGAATCCTTGTAGAATGGCTTGGCATGGAAGGCAGCTCGAGGATCATCAAGCTCCAAGCCCCCTTGCCTCAAGCTGGGCTGCCAACCAAGCTCCACGTTTAATGTGGGACTGGACCAGGCTGCCCAGGGCCCCATCCAGTCTGGCCTTGGACTCCTCCAGGGATGGGAAAAATCCATTTTGGTACGCACTTGCTCATCACGTTCTTCCCGTTTTGAGGTGCTCTGTAGATTGTGTTGTGCTCGGCCTCGTCCAACGGAGCCAAACCTGAGATGAACTGGTTTCTTCCTTTTGTTGTCCAGTGCCAATGAAGCGCGGCAAGCTCCTCACCTTCCTTCATTCTGTGGTGAAGGCCCGCCCAAAGCAACGGAAAGAGCAGGAGGTGGAGAAGGAGAGGGTGTTTGGCCGTGACCTGGGAGAGCATCTTCTCCACTCTGGTCGTGATGGTAAGGGACAGCCCATTCCTGAGAGCTTCCCTGTTTGAGAACCTAGAGATGAAAGGGAGATGGTTTCTAGCAAGGGGCAGATTGATAGCAGCGGAGAAACGGGGAATGGGAGTTGATGGCTGAAAGATGAAGTGAGGCTAATGCTCCCAAGAGACAAGCACGTTTGTATTTGCTTCAGCCAAGCCCGGCTGGGCTTAGTGGATGGGATGTGACGGGAGCGCAGCCTGAGGCAGGACTTGACTAAGGAGCTCCAGTAACCGCGGGCACGTGTTCTTTAGTCCCCCAGGTCCTCCAGAGCTGCGCCGAGTTCATCGAGCAGCATGGCGTGGTGCAGGGGATATACCGCCTGTCCGGCGTGGCGTCCAACGTCCAGAGACTGCGGTAAGAGTGCTGCGACTGACAGACACAGCTGCCAGCAGGGGCACGTGCCCTGTTGCGGGCGTTCAGAGGCCTGCGGGCAATGCCTTAGCACAAGGAAAGGTCTCCTTTGGGAACATCCCATCCAGCATGGCTGACGTGGTGCTGGTGGCCGAGTGTTTGTGTTCTCCTGTACATCAGGAAGCCCTTCTGATTCTTGATTGCATTGGGTGTGGCTTTTGACTTGCTTTCCTCTTTCTCAACCGCTTTCGTGTCCTTCTCTGCAGCCAGGAATTTGAGTCTGAGCAGGTTCCTGAGCTAACCGTCCGCGACGTTCACAGCGCGAGCTCCCTCTGCAAAATGTACTTCAGGGAGCTCCCGACCCCCCTGCTGACCGACCAGCTGTACGACAAGTTCTCGGTAAGCACGAGGCAACGCCTTTCCTTTCCCTCTTCGCTGGGCCTCTTGGGAGATGGCTGCAGCAGAGCCCCAGCTCTGAGGCCCTTCTGTTAGCCCCATGGGGTTTACTCGCATGTCTTTGCCACATCCTGCATCGTGCTGATGCCACTTCTGGTGGCCCCAGGAGGTGGTTATTTCCATATTCACAGTGCTTGCGAGAATTCCTGTGTTGTTTGTTTGTTTGTTTTTTGCTATTCCCCAGCTATTTCTGGAACAGGAATGGGATTAATAGCCAAGTGTACTTGGAGATGAATGCCCCCTGCGAGGAGCTGAGCTGCCCAACCAGGCTGTAAACCGGCCCGGTGCTTGGACTCCTTGGCCTTGGTGGCACCAGCTGCGTGCCGCTATGTTTGCCAGATGCCTCTGGGGAGGCCTAAAATCTTTCTCAGTGCTGACCAGCAGCGCGCTGTGCCCATGGTTCCCGACCCTGCGGCAGGTATCTCTCCTGATTTGTGTCTCAATCCCTTTCTGCCCTTTTCCAGGATGCTGTTGGTGCCACTACAGAGGAGGAGCGGCTGGTCAGAATGCGGGACGTCATCCAGCAGCTGCCCGCTCCTCACTACAGGTCAGTGCTGCCCTCAGCCTGCTGAGCTCAGCCCTGCTGCACTTCAGAGGGCAATGGTGCGATTCCAGGCTTTGTCTCACGTGAGCAACACGATGCCTGGGTATGTTGAAGCGGTTGAAGGCTACACGGGTTTAATTTACAGGGTTAATTTATTGGGTCAGGTCCTGGGCACGGGGGCACGCTTGGTGCAGCTGATGGCTGTGGCTGTGCTGTGCTGGTGCTGGGTGCTGCAGCGTGGCACTTGGTCAAGTTGGGTCTACTTCATCTTCAGCATCAGTAGCAGTAATAACAACTAGTGTGAATTGAGGTTTGCTTTGTGAGTGGCAGCACGGCATGCTGGCTGGTGCTGAACATTTGCCTCTCTTGTTTCCCAGGACCCTGGTGTTCCTGATGAGACACTTGGCCTGTCTTGCTGCAAAGAACTCTGTCACCAACATGCACGCTAAGAACTTAGCCATTGTGTGGGCTCCAAACCTCCTAAGGTAAACTTCTTTTTCCGTTTCAACAGAACGCTTACATCTGTTCTCCAGTAGAATAAAGCAGTCCTCCCTTCTTCTGCACCACATGTGCTCTTCTCCTGTAAAATGTGCAGTGAGTGGCTGACAGCAGAGCAGGAGCCTGGACTGTTCTCCAACCCCCACGGGCACAATTTCTAGCTGAGCATTGCTGCTCTCTTGTTTAGATGGGACTGGTGTGTCCTTGATCAGCCAGGAGAACTTCTTCAGTGGCATCACTGATTGCCCACTGCGGAAGTCTCCGGAGCCCAGTTTGACAGCTTTGGGCTGCAGTAATTCAGACCCGGGAAGCGATCTTGGCTGAATGACTTCTAAAACCTGCCTTTTCTACAGATCACAGCAGAGCGAGTCTGCCTGCGCCAGCGGGAGAGCTGCCTGCACGGAACTGCAGACGCAGTCGGCTGTGGTGGAATTCATCATCAACCACACAGACGTCCTCTTCTGCTCCACATCCGGATCGGACATTGCAGATGGAGCAGGTGAGTGTCTTCCTCCATTAGCTTTATCTTGGTCAGACACCTGGATCAAACGCAGGCCTTTTCCAAGTCCTTTGAAATACACTTTTCCTGTCGAGGGAACAGCAGACTTCTGGGCTTAGATTGGAATCTGGCGTCCAGTTGCTGGATGCTGAGAATGTGCAAGCCCAAACGTGCCAAGGAGAAAACTGTCACCATCATTATGATGTTTTGCAAGCAGGTGAAGCTTGATTAACGTGTGGCAGCGAAGCTTTCTCAGTTCCCTGCCCCCATTTTCTAGGGTTTTTGTTTGCCTGTTTCGATACAGGGAGCTGCTCTTAATTATGACTGCGTCCTTTGCCATAGACACACCTCTGAGCACATGGTTGTTTTGAGCTGCTCTTCTTCCAGTGGCTCGGTTAAGCAAGTCTGAGGAAAACACAGCAGCTCCCCCGGACCTGCGATGGCTGTGCTGCCGCTTTTTGATCCTGGCTCTCACCTGTGGTTTTCCCTTCCAGGGCACAGCTCTCTCTCAGGGCCCCAGTCTGTGCGGGCGTCTTCTGCTGCCACAGAGCTGCTCAGCCTGGAGGAGGCGCAGGCACGGAGGCGAGGCCACAGCAGCTCTCCTGTCGTTGTGACAGAGAGCAGTGACATAGAGGTGGAAGAAGGCCCCACAGCTGTACGGGGGAAATTCCACACAGTCATCGACTTTCCACCTGAAAGGTAAAGAGGACTTTGTTTTCCAGCAGCTATCATCACTGTTTGGGTGGGTTGTGTTTGTTCTGTCTCCATTATTTCTAGTGCCTAAACTTGTGGAAATTAGATTTAATGAATGGTGCCTGAAGTGTTGCAGTGAATCTCCCCTCCCTTTGGACTGTGAGATTCAACTAACATTGAGTTGCCCGCCGGGCTCAGTTTAGCCTCACAACGGTGCCGTTCCTTCCTTGCTGGGCAGGCAGTGACGAGATGCACAAAGCCACGCTGACGTCTACCCTGGCCTGTGCTGGCTCTACCTGGAAACGTTGGGGTTTTCCAGATTTCAGAGCCTCGTGCCTGAATCCAGTTCCGGATCTCCTCTACGCAGAGCCGTTGGTCAGACCTGCTGACACTAGAAACTAGACATGGCAGTGAAATGGGCCGATGAGCTGTCAGTGTCAGAGTCAGAGATGCTTTTGAAGTTCCTTTATGGCTGTGCAATTCCTCAGCCAGCAGTTATGCCTGCCTACTCAATCAAAGCCACCCTTTGATGCTGTCCTGTACAGGTGTGGAGCCTGTGGACCTCACATGCTCTGCATCTTGCTTGACACAGTTGAGGGGAATTTAGCCAGCAAGACTTCAGGGCTGAGCTATAGGAATGGAACCATCCTCAACTGCTTGAAATGGAGCGAGTTTCTAAGCTGTGTTTCAGCAGGAACCAGGCGGTGCTAGGAACAAGCAACTGTTGGCACGAGCTCAGTGCAGCTCTTCCCTCACCCTGCGCCACGCACGACTCACGCCATTCCCTGTTTTCTCTCTCCAGACCCAGTCCACCCAGCAAGATAAAGGAATCACCAGCTGGCTGTTGGTGTTCCTGCTTCAGCCTGGGGAAACCATCGTCTGGGGCCAAACGCCAGCCACAGCACCATCCCAGGGAGCCCTCAGAAATAGAAATCGTAGTGCTGGCAGGTAAGGGTGCAAATCCAGCTTTCAACGCCTTGCTTTTCAGCAACATAGAATTCTTGCTGTCAGTGGGCTTGTATCTACTTCCAGCGTTCCAACCCATACCTAACACCTTTAGTTCTCCCCTGATCAAGAACCCCTTTTGTAATTCAGCTTGTGAAAGTTTGGCGCTAACCCCTGTGTATCCTTCCTAGATGAACTGAGCCCTTGTCCACCCAGAAGAGCTGGAGCAAGTAGCGAAGCTGGGCTGTGTGCTTCCACCAATGGAGAGCTCTTGGGAAGCACAAATGGCTGCGGATCACGTGACAGCCTTGCACGTAACAACAGTGATGGAGAGAGGGTGCTCATCCAAGTTGAAGCCCTCATTTCTCCTGGCTGTGCTGAAGATGCTGACCTGTGCCCACCAGGCACCGCAGTCACCAGCCTGGACTGTGACCCGGCACCTTTGCAGTGCAGCCCAGCCCAAGTACAGTCCGAGTGCCCGGACAGCAACACCTCTGTGCAGGAGCAGGTCAGCATCAGCGAGGAGCAGCAGAGCCTCTTGGAGGGGGGCGTACAATCAGGCCTCCAGTCCCAGGCACCGTGCAGCATCTCTGAGAGCTCTGAGCCACTCTCTACGTGATCTTTCCATCCAAGAGAGGACGATTTCCATCTTTACCTGGACCTCTCACGCCCTCCTGTGTTTTCCTTTAATAATAAAAGCGCACTTATACTCACTCAACGCCTTGAGTGCCTGTGGAGTCTTCATTCACGAGGACTGGGATGAATGCTGCACACAGCAAGGCACCTCAGCTGGCAACGCTGAGGCTGCAGGGTGCACGAAGCAGAGCCCTGGGTTATTTCCCATTCTGTCTGGCTTTGGGATGTCTGCAGGTCCCAGTTGGTACGGTAGCAAAGAATCTCTAGCATCCTGGATTCTGCTCGTGGTGACCCCAAGCTTCCTGGCGGTGGCTTTGTGATGCCTTTCAGGGCTTTTGGATGCACTGTGATGCCTTGGCTGCTCCCTAGCACCTCTCTCCTCCGGCCGCGTCCATTCCTTGAAGGAATCAGCAGCTGGCTGTTGGTGTTCCTGTTTCAGCCTGGGAAAACCATCTTCTGTGGGCAAACACCAACTGCAGTGCAATGCCAGGGAGCCTGCAGAAATGCAAGTCGTAGTGCTGGCAGGTAAGAGTGCAAATCCTGCTTCCAAAGCTCTGCTTTCCAGCAACATAGAATGCATGCTGTCACTGGGCTTGATTGCCCTTCTAGCCTTCCAGCCCATACCTGACACCTTCAGTTCTCCCCTGATCAAGAACCACTTTTGTAATTCAGCCTGGGAGAGTTTGACACCAACCCCTGTTCATTCTTTTATAGGTGATTCGTGCTCTTGTCAACCGAGCAGAGCCAGAGCATGTAGTGATGCTGGGCTGTGTGCTTCCACCAACGGAGAGCTGTTAGGAAGCACAAATGGCTGTGGTTCAGCTGACAGCCTGCCGCATAACAACAGTGATGGAAAGAAGGAGCTGATCCAAGTTGAAGCCCTCATTTCTCCCGGCTGACACAAAACTGGTCAGAGTGGCTGACACAGCAAAAGGCTGTGCTGCCTTCCAGCGAGACCTGGAGAGTTGGGTGGGGAGAAACGGAATGAGAAAGAACAAGGGCAGGTGTGGAGTCTTGCATCTGGGCAAGAGCAACCTGAGTACCAGTATAGGTTGGGGGCTGAGCTGTTGGAGAGCAGTGTAGGAGAAAGGGATCGGGGGATCCTGGTGGGCGGTAGGAGGAGCATGAGCCAGCACTGTGCTCTCGTGGCCAAGAGGGCATCGTGGGGTGTATGGGAAAGAGTACGGATAGGAGGTGGAGAGGTGCTCTTTCCCCTCTACTCTGCCC